ACACTGTACACAAAACGCGCACTGGGGTGGTGGTTTAGTGTCTGGCAAGTGTGCCAGCTTTCTAAGTCACAAAACTTCGTGATAGTCTCCGGCTTTCATCACGCATGTAGCATAAGAGCTACATGCGTATGGAACTGATGAGCGGAGTTATAGCCTTATAATACTGAAAACTCGAAGGTTCCAGGTGGTAAATCAGAAGAAGAAGGAGGAGCGTTCATTGGGAGGGGTCAGGCTTATAATAAACCTCTCCCGGTGAACGCTCTTCCCTCTTCTGACTATAGACTTATCTTTCTGAGCTTACAAATTTACCCACAGACAGGTGCCTAAGTCAACTGTGAAAATGTCACTGACATATGCCGCCACGTGCACTCACTTCATCAGCACTGACCTTACGCCTAATAATCCCGGGGGTTTAACGCCTCCTCTGTCCACCGCCCCTTCCCCATCCTCTATCAATCTATCCTAATGTTGCTTTAATGGCACTCTGGCGCGCGTGAAAATCGAGTCATCTCTCTACGTGATACATACTGTTGTGCAGGACGAGGTCGTATGTAACAAGCGTGCTGGGGAGTTCGTTCCACTCTTTCACTCACTGCGTTCTTCTGTTCCTCGTAAGGACCTCCCAAAGAAAATGCTAAGAAGCTATTCATAATATTACATTTGAAAAAAAGATGAAATAAAGGTGACTGAAAACTAATCTGTGATCCGCAGATTTTGGCGCTTGGTAAATCGGCAACTGGAAGCATCTCCGTTTAAGAGGAGCAGTAAAAATCCTGCTGAATTTTGTAAAAGGTCTGTAAAAGGAGACAGACATTAGCAGCAGTCTTCTTCTTCTCCTCCGGACGTTAAATTGCGGCCACTAGACCATAGGAGACGGCTACTCCCATACACAAACCAAAGGAAATATAGGTGGCCGTTGCAATACCGCAGCTCTCCTGGCTACCCTCTGGCGCAGACCTTTAAATGGGGAAAAGATCGAAAGAAGAAAAATAAACAGTAATCGGGGCAGAAAAATATTCCCATTCAAGTATGTAAACTTTTATCAATTCTCTTCATCTTTCTGAGCCGAAGAGAGCCGAAAATCATTTTCACTTAATCTGCGCAGACGGTGCCATTGTTGATTTGCATGAGTCCTTGTGGTGCCTTAAAAATTCGCACGTTGCTTTCAGATTTTCAGAGAGGCGAAGTAAGGAGCTAGTGCGCTGGTGTGAGTTCGAATCCCACCAAGGCCAAAAATGTTTAGCAGCCATGCCAATTGAATTATTCAAAGTTGCCAACCCTCCACCCTCCTCCAATAATCAAGTGTGCCTGGTAGTCATGCTGGTGGATTCTAGGTGATCGTTTGGGGAATCCTGCCTGGATAGTCAGCTTAGTGTATCCGTATTGGTCGATTCCAGTAGGTGCAATAGACTGAACGGGTATATCGAACCAAGTGTGATTAAATTCACGGCGCGCCTTAAGAGCTCAAATGTTAGAGCATTGGCTGTACTAATGCATTTCCGGCTGATGTGGGTTCGAATCAAACCGAGGGCACGAATTTTTTTCAAAATTGTGTCAGTTACATTATTCAAATCTGCCAAACCCCTCTAATAAAATATGTTTGCCTCTTTATCGATAGTTTAAGCTGGCATTGTCAAATTACAAGCGCCAAGACACAGCTATCGTCTTTTGAAAATAACTTGAAACGATATTTTGGTTGATTAGTCCGGAAGCCATCGATGAATTGGTCAATTGATGAACGTGTCTAAAATTATTGCCGCTCCTCCAAAGAAGTCCTAGAAAGGGCATACTAGGCAAATAATTCGACTGCATTTTTCGTCCTTTGAATAGTGATACTTTCACTGTTTACAATGAAGAAGCTATAGGAAATGACAGGTAAACAGACAGTCACCCTGATTTAGGTGCTGCTGAATGTCCACGCGCAAGTGACCAAGAGTCGCTGCTTCAGTCTTTCGAATTCTTTTCAGCGGTAATTCTCTATGTGTTTATTTCTATTATTATTGTTATTATTGATTAACTATTAACTTAAATTATGGTAAATCATTAGTCACTCTCAGGCATTGTAAATTATGTGAATTTGAATAAACATTTCAGTTTGGTAAAAAAAAAAACTAGAATTCTTAATGTCCCAAAATACTACTTTATCGTCATCCGAGTTAAATGTAAAAAAGTAAATTCTTCAGCTAAGTATAGCTTCCTTTCCAACTGGTGTCAATATACTTAACTGAAAAATGAATTATTCCTTTAGTCAGTTTTAGTAAAAGGCAGTCAATTTATGCAAATAAATAAATAATAATTTAGGACAAAAAACCAAAAGGAAGCTAGGCTAAAACTGAACATAAGTTCACTTGCCAACGCAAAACAAATTTCTTAGTTTTTCTTACCTTCCGCTTAACTTAAATGGCATGTACACCTTTAAGCTAGTGACTGGGCTTTTGTCGCGTGGATGCACCAAATCAGTCAGTTGATCATTTGGTGAGTACCCAAATTTGGGCAATTAAGTCCCCTTATAAGCTAGGCCTCTCGAAACTTCGATGTTGGCCTGTGCGATATTTATCGGCACAAAATGCTACGTAGGCAATACGTTTATAGTTGCCAATCTAAGTAAGAGAGTTCTGCTAGAACGAACGATAAACTTGTCTGAGGTTCTAAAACAGCAGACCCCGTCAATTCTGCATGGCAGGGCAAAAGTCGACACAGAGTGGAAGAGGTGCTGATTTCTGAATAAAAGACTGCCGCGTACTCAAAGAAGCACGAAGGCAAGGAGTTACCCTAATGAAGGAGCAAAAAAGCACGTGACGGACATGATATTCGAAAGCGTGAGTCAGTGAGTTTTGAATTATTTAAAACAAGATAGTCTCCCTCTAGCTCCCACGGCATATGCTGGAACAAGGACCCGCAAGGGCATCTATTCGACCAATCCGTCTTTCAGGTCACCTCTTGGGAAGAAAAATTGTTTTGCCTCGTTTAAGGTCACGCCCTGTCAAGGTCGTTCACTGCCCTGACTAACGGTTCTACAAGCGGGATTTATGGTCGGGCCGAGTGAAACGGCGCATGTAGACGGTCACAACTGTCCATAGGCCCCACCATGACTACTGCAACAAAAATCGACCAGCCACGTGGAAAAGTGGACATGCACCCACTAGGTGACACTCATAACCGCTCCCGGCAATGACTCAAAGTCGTAAGTGGCCCGAGACGACTCCTGTGCACAATAAAATCCCTCATGCTGGTGACTGCCGCGTTATTCTCCAACTGTGAACTTGGTTTTAATTAATGCGGCGATTTTAGATCGCAGTTCGACGTCAACTCTGTTTATTTCACCAGCCGCTATGTGGCTACTGGCGCGGCTAAGCAGTCAGATACAAGGCAGAGCGGGACAATTGAGTCTCGTAATCTATCAGTGAACGTTCATGCACCAAAGTTGGTACTTCTCAATCGAAACCTGGTAAGACACTGAGCTCGTGGCTCAATGAATTGGAGCTTCAAACTTCTAGTCAATCGGTCACGGTTTCAAGCCTAGGTTATGACTGGCTGATTACGGCTAGTAAGCCCGCATTGGACACTCGATTGTCTTCTGTCTCTTTTGGCACTGTTTACCTACCTATAATATATGCAGTTACGTGGCTGCTGGCAACAGTTGAGAGTGAACCCCAAAGCAGGATTCGATGAGTAAGTCCCGGTCCTGTTCGGCGAGCGCCTATCCACTAATGCTAGGTAAACGCGTGTTCAGTAGGTTTCCTTGAGAAGACCTCACTATAGTCCTAGGCTTTGCAAACTTCTAAGCTTGGAACGTGCTTCACTTTTTTATGCAGTGGAAATAAAGCAGGGCAGTAAATATGATATTTTAGATGAAATTTACTAATGTGCTTCTGACCAGGGGAAAAAATACTCCATTGGGAAAGCAATAGTAATTTTCTTGGAGCAAAAACATAGTTCAGACACAATATAATGCTAGCTTTTGAGGGCCATCAAAAACCGCACCGTAAAAAATAGCTACTTACTTAGCATATATAATGACTATAGATTTTCCATTTCTTTATAAATCGAAATATGTTTTCGATTACGTAAACAATACACTTTTTACTCACTTATAAAAGTCCCACATTTTCTTTGATTTGCATATTCAAGCGAATGGCCCAAGCCAAAAACACAACGGGACAAGTGAGTCCCGTTTGCGGTCGGTGAACGTTCACCAACGAGTATCACAGGTAGTAGTTGAAAGTCCATCCGCGCAGGATTCGCCGATCCTCTACAGTTGTATGATGTATCTGTGGGGATTTGGCTAGTCAGTAGGTTTCTCACCGTGCCTCGTGTTTTTTATTGTATATGAACTCTCGCTCTCATCCTGTATGGTGTCATTTCCGAGGAAATTTATGAATGCTCTTGGCGGTAATCGTTGGGAGCAAAGCTTTTCATGCTCGGGCCGAAAGTTGTTATGGATATTTGAGTTGCGGAATATTCACCAACTGCCAACAGTGTGCACATACGTACTTATTTACCCTAGTGACAACACTGGTACGAACTAAAAGCTCGAACACGCGTGTTTTGCAGATCCTGTGCCACTGTACGGTGCAGTTGTGGATCATCAACGGGTCTCCTGGCATTCTGCCTAGCTTAATTCTCGAGAAAATTAATGCACGAATGTTGATGGAATCAAAGGCTTCCAAGCCTAGGGAATAATTGAGGTGGGGCGTGGAGTTGAGCGGTTAAACTCCACTAAAAAGTTCATTGCCAGAGAAATGTGTTCATCGACGCATCAGTTTGCCTCCCAGGATTTCTCTGTTTTTTCCTGCCTTGCCTCATTTCCAAGTAAATTCATGCGCAATCTTGGAATACTTTCGTATTTCAATGCTACTGACTGCCTCTAGGCGGTTTGTAAATATTATGCGGTTAGTCCTTATTTCCTGACGGATTTTACCAGAAATAGTAATAGAAACTTTCTGATCGAAATTGAAGAGTGTTGCTCCGGAAGATTAAATTTACGTGCTCTCTAATCTAAGTCTTGCAGCAGCACAAGGTCGGTGGAACATGTGCTTTTGGGTCTTTAGTCAGTACCTGTGCTAACATTGTGGTAAATGATAACGCCCCTGTGTTATTTCTACAATGAGAATATTATTTTTCACAGGCAGTATTTTTTACTGACCTCCCTAAAAAGCACGATGTCAAAATAGTTAGTTAGCCTGTTAGTTCACTACAGCTTATTCTAAATATGCTGAATGTCGGCTTAGAGACTAACTAGGGGCCATTTATTCCAGTCTACTGCGTGTATCGAGACCTGAGCAGTATAAATCTAAACACTGTTAGCACCTCGATAGCTTGACACCCCCAGTTCATGGTAGTGAATTTCCAACATTGCGAATATCATACTTTTCTATAGGCAGTTGGAAAACAGCCTTAATTTCTAGTCCAAAAATCTAGGCTCTAAGAAATATTATCCTTTTATTGTAGAAATAAACATACTAATTCATAGTGGTGGAAAGTATCACTAATGCACCCGAAAAATAATCCTCATTTTTACCAAAAATGGCGCGATGTTCCGCAATATGAACTTACCGCAGGTTTATTTTGAACAATTGCGTTCGGTCCAGGAAAGAACAGTCAACATGCAAATTCACAAAGAAGCACAGCAGATAAAATATAGGAAAGATTTCGAGCATAAATGCTAATATACTGTCTAGTTTAATTTAGCTACTGGCAATTTTTACGTCCCGTGTGGTCTGCTTTTTGCAACAGTGTGGGACACACGTGCGCAGCATCTACGTCAGTGCCACCCTCAACACATACACCAGGTTACTGTAAGGGTGGCTCGGAGTTCACATGTTTACATTTATATTATGAATTTTAAAAAAATTGTTTTCTTACTGAGAAGCATAGGTGACAGAAAGGGACATGAGATATCCATTGGACAAGCCGAGTACGATGACGAGTATAATTGGAAAGGCTTCGTGTATGAAAACGGCAGGTATGTTTTGACGTGGCTGTTGATTAAAGAACATCGCAAACGGAACCAGCACGGCACGGATGATACAAATGGCAAGCAGTAGTTTCTTCTGCGAGAACTTTGGCTGAAATTTAAAATATATATAATTTGTATTAACGGCAGACCAAAAACTTATGTTCCCACGACCCGGTAATATGAAACTTTACTTTTTGGTTCGGTCGTGATGTATTATTTGTCACTGTTTTCTGTATTATATTATGACGGTGGGATAACAAACGTTTTCGATTCTGGATATCTTTTGAAAGAAAAATTAATTCACTTGCTTTTTTATAACGAAATAGCAACAACTCAAAGTAATCTTTTGATTAAAGGCTTGCTGGCTGCGAGAAGGTTTTCTGATGCCCTACATTTTTCTCGATGCGAATCCTGTTCAAATTTTTAAAACAATTTAAGGCAGAATTCTGTAAAATTCCTACAAAGAAATGTTTTTGTCATTTCTGTCTAGAAGCAAGTATTCCTTAACTAAACTTAGAACTACATTTAATAGTAAGCTCCTGGCTTGCTGAAGTTAGATAAGGGAAGTGGGGATTTTGAAAATAATATGACTAACATATATGACCCAACACCGATTAGTGTCAACACTCGAGAGTAAGATATGAACAACCTGTCATTTTCGCGGATGATACTGAACTTAGTTTTTAGACGTGAGGTGAAATTTGATTACTCTTGTTTATTCATGCCATATAATAAGTGGACAACCGAACTTGTAAATAATTTGGGTTTTAATTGCGAGAAAAATCTGCTATGGGTCTCATTTTGCATTTTTACCCACAAAGTGGTCCTTTAGTCATCGATTTATTCTGAATTGAACAGGTAAAAATAGTTATGTTAGAATGACTTTGTTATTCAAAATTTTAATGTCTGTTTTATTCGAAACATGACATACCCATTTGCATGCCGCAACCATTGCCCGTCCGATATAATCGCTAACGTTGAAGCTTAGGAACACGGACACCGGTATGAAGTAAGTACCTTTGAAATGTAAAAGAAATATTAAGCAATATGCTCTGGTTTATCTAGTTTATTGTAAAGTAGTTGACAGTATCTTCAAATAACCACTTAAAGCGACTGACATTTAGTAGTTTATTTTATCAGCTTGGTAACAATTGCCTTCAGTTGACAGAAGAAAAGAGGACTGCGAAGCAATTAAAAGTTGACTCACTTTTCCACGGGCTGTTTTTAGAGTAATCATTTGGCACAACGAGTAAGAGCAGACTTGGGAAAATTGCAAGTGTCACCACAAATACAAAAAATGCGCAAAATCCCGTCAAGCGAACGTCCCACATGGCTTTAAAAAGGTTTCTGATCGTCATCCGCAGTTGCGTACATCCGTGGGCCTGGTCTGTTTGCACCACTTTTCTCATAGCTCGGTTAACATGAAATTTGTAGTACGTCTACAAAGTCAGTGTGAAAGTTAAAGCAGAAAGGTAAAAGGAAAATATTTCGAAAGCTTAAGATATCCATTTAATTTCGACTTACCGAGCGGAAGAGCAGGGTAAACAGTACAAGTGTGAGGGCAATGATGAAAACCGCAATGAGGAAATATATTAAGCCGACGTTTGTCAAGTCTGCAGCAACGGATATTGTTATTAAGTTTGCCACGGCAGCAGTTATGCCTGCAACAGCCTTCAAATTTAAAAAGAACATTCAATATATGGAATCATCAGCTGGTAAAAGATATACTTAGTCTTTTCATTGCTAAGAGGACTATTTACTATCCACTAAGGAAATACTGCACAAACTATAAAATGTTGAATATTTCTTAGGCAAACAATGTGTCTTTGGAGTCATTTTATTTTGGCAAGTGTTCAGAATTTACTTTAAAGTTCACAGCATAAATATCAAAAAAATCAGTATAATCCCTATTCAATGAATTCCCTACGTGACAAATCAATACGAATAAGCCTGCAAACATACCTGTCCCTCTAAAAATCCCCGAGTATTTGATTCAGGTAGCATTGATAAAATGCCATACGTGCTTCCCTGAACAATTGAACTTCCGACTGAGTTCAAAATGCTGTGACTAAATAAACCACTTACTGTTAATGAATACAACGGAAGTTAGCGTGACGACGAAGAAAGTGTAAGGTTCTACAGCAAATAGTGTTAAATGGAAACGATCATACCAACAACCACTTTTGTAAGGACGACTGTGATGGTGAACATGGCTAACACTAACACGCTGCAGGAAAATACTCTTATACGGGCGGATAGGCTTAAAGGTTAACATAAAAAAATAGCTTACTATTCTTTTAAAATTAAGTTTGCGAAGTTTGTAAAGGCTAGGGGAATCATTGTACAAAGGGCAATGTTGTTAGCAAATAGTTTTTGTTCCTCCGTTCGATGCTCCGGTGCTAAAGGATTTTCAGTGGGTAACAGACTTCTGTTTCGTAATTGATATTTGAAATACTAAAGAAAATGATAAGAAATACTTAATTACTGAATCAGCAGTGATGAAAAAGTTCCAAGGCAAGAGTGTTCCAACGCCGATAAAAAAGAAAATTATGTAGACGACGTGGAACCTTAAGAGAATAATTAAAATTTAAGGCGTACCTATCCTTGGGTTCTTCAACGGACACATCTATTTTCTCATCAGTCTTATCCTTCATGGATTCCGACATCTCCGACGTATTCGTTATCGCAACTATTTAAAAGTGAGTATAACCTCAAAAGTAAATATAATTTGTTAACTTAAACTACAGATATTGCTGCAAAAGTTTGATAGCGCGTAAGGATTACTTGAAATTATATATATAAACGGAACGAGTTCATCTTTCTTAGGCGAGAGATTTAGACAAGAAAATTAGAGATTTTGTGTATGAGAGTTATACCATTTTAAGTCACGTTTATATCACTTATATATTGTCGTATTAACATAATCCACGCTCCAGAAACAAGCTGAAATGAATGACTTATTTTGTATTTTTAAATGAAGACAGCCAAAGTGAAAGAAATCAGCACTACCTAACTGAACGCTGACACAGATTACTGAGAAAACTCCGACATCAAACGCAGCACCATCCGAATGGTCACTACCAGGACACATGTAATAACCTAACACACATGAGAATCTATAATACTTCCCATTTAGTTTCTTCGTTACATGCTGTTGTTCCCTCGTTGCCTGCGTTTTATTAAAAGTCATGGGCTTCCTTCTTGTGGGTTGACGTACTTCAATGTCAGTCAGTCATTACTAAGGGAAGAAGGCTTTCACCCTTGAGCTCCCTATTCATGTCCAAAAATTGTAAGAGTTCAACCTTAACGATGGTACGTAATACAGATTTAGGCTAAACATCAGGGCTAGGTGTGATGTAGTTGGATACTGCTACTACTGAAACACAATCTGTCACAGTTTCTTAGCAAATGAGAATAACGTTTACGTTTAAAAGTATGTATGTATATGTATATGTATATTTAAGGGTAACAGGCAAGTGTCAACAGCATCTGAGAGGACCACCTCGTCAGCGAGTCCTTTCCACGCTCCGATGACCTTCTGCCAGAAGGCGTTCCTTTGAACGTCCATATGGGCCGGCTTCCTCCACAGGTTAAAGAGATGACCTCGTAGACTATCTGTTAGAGCCAATTCGAAGAATTTGTCAAATTCTCGGGTGCACTCATGGCCTATGACTATTCGGTCGGTTAGGATAAACTGCTACCTGGAACTCGCATATTCTCAAATATTGGCAGTGACTTCCATCGTTTGAATTACTGGTGGTATAAGATGACATCGTGATTCTGGGGGGACACGGAGCAGAGAAAAATAGTTTCAAACAGGTCTTCTAAATTCTCGATGGTCCTTTCCTGGAGTTATAGAGAAAGCTGTTTGATAAAGATTAGGGAAATAAAAGGTTAATGGAATTGGTGTTTTGATAAATTCGCAGCCTCTCTGTGAATGTGGATAGAAAAGTTAACGACCTAATTTCAGTTGGCTAGTTATTCCAGATAAAGCTATACCTGGAAGCCAAGAATAAAAAGCGTTGAGATGTGGAGGATGCAAAAAGTGAATTCGGAACTGGTGAGTTTCCATTTAGACACGATAGAAGGACAGCAGCGTCTGTAAGTGAAGAGAGCCTGGTCCGTCAGACATTTGCCTAACGTGACGTGTTTCCTCCTACCTAAATATGAATCTGTACGCTGGGGACATTTGTGGGACGTTGAGCTTTCCATTTTTGACAGAGTAAAGGTGTCGGTTATGATCAAAATAAACGTATCTGTCGGTCACTGGGTACTCTAATATCGATGCGGTAGAAAGAAAGACTCATATACTGTTCGGACCCCACGGAGATAATAATAATAATGATAGGGCTGTTTTATGCGGCCGCCTTGAATAAATTCCGCCTTCCTAAGGCTGCCTGAAAATGATTTCCACCAGCCTAAGGTCGAAAACCGCCAAAATTAATCGTCTACTACCCTTATTGACCAATGAGGATCAGAAACCCGACCAACAGGAGTTTATGTGGGTCGATTTGATTATATGTAGCTCACTAAAACTACTATAAGTGGTTGTAACTTGCTTTCCATTGTTCCCTTTCCACGAAATGTAACACGAATTTAATGTCCTCAATCCAGTATTTAACCTTTAACTATAAATTCCGTTAGACACTTTGGCAGGGGAGTTTATTTTTAGGAGGCAGCTGAGAAGCTAAGGTAGGTCCACTCACTAATCCCTACTCCCTGCATGTTTGCCTACTAAAACGGCGGTTATAGGGTTTTGTGTGTGGGGAATTAGGAAATGAAGTGGAATATACTTTAATAAATGGTAAATGCATTTTTATTTTTCTGTATTTGGAAGTGTTGATTTATATCTGTAGATTTTTCTAGTCTGTATTATCGTTTAACTTCACACATGCTACAGCACAACGTCAAATATGTGACAAATTAACCTTGAAACACCACTACACAATGTGACGATCTATATTTTCCTGACTGAAAATTTGTTAACATTGTTTATAATTCTTGAGAGTCTGATGTAGCAAAAAGGGGGTTCAAAGACGCGAGTCTATTTTTTCCTCAGATATACTGACTGACAGAACTTATTGCGGAGAAACTCGATTACAAAACTGCAGGTTTCTTGAATCTCCCGAAAAATTGAAATTTTGGTTAGAAGGTCGTCTACTTCAACTTACCTGAGGTCCAACTTACCGTTCTTCAGTTCCATTAGTATAGTCCGCGGCGCGAAGCGCCACGGACACCTTCCATTTACGTGCGGAACACCTTACTCCCAGCGGCCGCGGGAAGTAAATTCTAGTACGTTTTTTTTTACTCTGCACTTAATTCTAAAAATTTCCTTATCTGCTTATTTTATTTCCCCACCTCCAAACACCCTTTACCCACCGCTTTTGCCATACAACATGCTGGAACTATGGGTATATGAGTGGGCTTCATGAGCTACTTTTTCCTAGGGGGGCTAACAAGACAGTTTTGCCATGATAATTAAGTTTATATTTAAGGCCCGGAGGTCCTCATGAGTGCGAACTTACTTCTCTGGTAAAAATGAATGCAAAGTGAATAATTGCTGTTCTATCTATCCTAGAATACTGTTGTCCACTTTTTGGTCTTATGAACGCGAC